TTTATTTATTTATTTATTTATGTGTGTGTGTGTTTTATGTGTGTGTGTGTGTGTGTGTGTGTGGCCAGCTCAGCCCACCAGGGGGCGGGGCTGGCTGTCATGTGGTGCTGGGGATTGAACCACGGTCCCTGTGCTTTGCTAAGCTTGTTGTAAGTAGGTGCTTTAGACCACTGAGCCATCTCACCAGCCCTCATTCAGCTTTTAATGAGTGCTGTTTTTATGCTAACTGTTACACAGGGAAGAAAAAGAAAACCATATTCTCTGTGGCAAGGTAGAACACTATTAATTTATAGTGCATATATTTTTGCCTGGAAAAATATTACAGAAGGAAGTGATAGGCAATGAGTTCTTGCTCTGGACTCCGCAGAAGTGAGGATCATTTTATTTGTCCCATTGTTCATTTCTTTTGATCAAATGTTAGAAAGTTTTAAAGGGTTACACAGGATTAAAATTCAAATAATTTCATTTATTAAAGCTTTCTATTTATTTTTCATCAACCTATTATACACCAATTTAATTCCCATAGCATATGTATTATTACGGTATAATGTTTTTAATCCAGTAAACAACTCACATATGAAATAATATCAGGTAGTATAATCCCTCCTAATATTATTTTTATAACAATGTTATTGATATCTGTTGAAAGTAATTAAGTTGCTTTCTTGTTGTTCAACTTGTGTCCATCAACATTCCCACATAGTTTAAAAAATGGAATTCATATACTATCACCTTCACTTTACAAATAAGAAAGAAACCTGAATCCTATTCTGTCAGAACAAAACCCAAGTCTCTATAGTACAGCTCAACATTGTAGTAAACAGATATAAAACTTAGTAATTAACCTAGGAAAGGAAAGATTATGTACTTAGTAATGGCCAACTATTGAAAATCTATCAGATTCTTACTCTTAGTCTCTTTCATAAATGGCTTGTTAAAGTGACACAGAAGTTTAATGTTAGAAGCTAGTTCTAAAAGAATGTAGTTAGAATCAACAGTAAAACATCTGGAATGTCTGTTCTAGAAACCAGAAAGAGGTAGAAACAAACACTAATGTTTTCTATTGACCCAGAGTCTTCCAACAGTCTACTCAATAAATTAGAAGTGATCAGGAATGTGTAGAGAAATTGAGAATTTTTAATTATCCAGAAAAAATAAGTTGAATACTCTTATTAGCATCTTCAGATAGTTTCTTTCCAACAAAATTACAAGTATTTCTGTCCCAAAGAGTAGTGTGCGAAAGCTCCTGAATGGTACTTCTTGCCAGAGTATAATGACTTGTTCTTGATCAAACCTGACCAGAAATGGAAGCACATCTGAAAAATAAGAACAGCCAAATAGTTCAGTGGATTAAAGCACCAGGAAGTAGGCACAGGGGCCGGGGGTTTAATCCCTCAGCCTGCCATGCCTTCCCTGCCCCCGGGGTATGCTGACACAGCAATTGAGCCTGAGTGTGGCATGCACCTGTAATCCCAGCTCTTGGGAGGCTGTAGACAGGCACATCACTACGAGTCTGATTTAGTAGTGAGACACTAAACATCCCGTAGACTCATCCCTTAAACAGAAAGAGAAAGAAAGAAAGAAAGAAAGAAAGAAAGAAAGAAAGAAAGAAAGAAAGAAAGAAAGAAAGAGAAAGTCATGTGTAACATTATAATGTCAGCCTAGGCTGAAAAATATATCTTTCAGACATTTTACAGAAAAGACAGATGTGTTGGGTGTTTGGAGCATTAAAGTGGTGTTGTATCATAGTGTCATGAATAAACTTAGGAAAGAGCCAGGCCTTTCTCCACTCCTGTGGCTACCACTCTGGTGGAATTGAGGAGGTAGAACTCTGATGCAATGTCTAGACATACAAACACTGTTCAATCCAGTTCGCATTGCTTATCTACAGCACGACAGCATTTTTCAATCATTAAAACTGCAGGATGCAGGAATATATTATCTGTAACATTTAAGAGGGTCTACTTCAGATGACCATAGCCTGTGGCTGTGGATATAAAGCATCTTTGAAACATTCATAACTATATAATTAAAACATAAACACTTGAGAGCAAAAGGAACTTGTGGAAGAAGTATATGAGAACAATTGCAAGCGTGCAAACGCCAGGCACTTTTTGAGCCCTAGCAGACTCCGTAACTTCTTCCGGAGATAGTGGTGCCACGTGGCCGTGGAGCATTTCGGGAAGGAAACTGATACTGGCCACCTTTGAGAGCACCCAAGGGTTTGGGTAACGGAGCCGAGATGTGGTTCGAGATTCTACCTGGAGTTGCCATCATGGGCGTGTGCTTGGTCATTCCCGGAGTGGCCACTGCGTACATCCACCGGTTCAGTAACGGTGGCAAGGAAAAAAGGGTTGCCCAATTTCCGTATCAGTGGAGTCTGATGGAAAGAGACAGGCGCATCTCTGGAGTTAACCGTTACTATGTGTCAAAGGGTCTGGAGAACATTGATTAAGGAAGCGTTTTCCTGATTGATGAAAAAAATAACTCAGTTATGGTCACCTAACCCTGCTGGAAGATTAAGCGGTGTATTATGTGACACGCAGCTTAGTTTTATGTGTGACGTAATGCTTAATAAAAACAAAATGAAAAAAAAAAAAACCCTCGTCATGTATAATTTCACCCAAAGAATTTACCACCTTTATACTTTGTAAAACTTTCAGTGAACATGAAAGTATTGTTTAAAAACAAGTACATTACAGCATCGAGGGAATGGGACATAATGCCACAGCACTGGAGTCACTGTCATTAAAAGCAGAACAAAGAAGATTGCTTTAGCTAATTTAATAGAGCTTGAAACAGACAAGAGATAATGAGCAAAGTGGAGACAAAGCCACCATTCTTTGCAAATTAAATGACTTTAAACTTAGCAAAGCAAACAAACTCAATGGTAAGGCCTTAAAATAAATAAGAGCCCAGCAATGGCTTACTACAGGTAGGGTCAGCAGTACAGTAGACACGCAACCTGCTCCTTAGCAGCTGAACTGAGAGTTGTTCATTTTCAGCTTTGATTATTTACAATCTACTTGCATGTTTATGGCATATGAGGATGTTAATTTTTTGAAGGACGTGTGTGTCTTGCCAGTTTTTGTAGCACAATGGAACCATCTCTTAATTACTGGACGAGTTTCCCCTTCATGTTATGGAATAGGACCTTGCACCTTAACATACACACATCCACCACATCCACCTTGGACACAGGATGGTTTGTCATCTTCATTTTGAGAAAGTGAACTTAATAGTTCACCATTTTGTTTTGAGGATTTGAGAGAAAGGGGTCAGTGTTTGGGGTCTCATCTAACTCTACTAGCAATAACTAAGAAATGATGAATACTTCTTGGTTATATAATTACTTAGAAAACATAAAATGCCTATTTGAGTGAAAGTTTCAGTTTCACTGAGAGCAGTTCAGGATTAAATAAACTAATTTTTATTGTAACAGAAAATCTTTCACGTGCAAAAGGCAAGGATATGAGAAGTCAAATTTTCCTGAGGATGATTTGTAGTCATGAATAGTTCTCAATTTCATCTGGTGCACACTGGCCTGGCCATTCTGGTTGTTTGAATACTGAAATTCTTTGATAACTAGCCACTCCCTTGCCTTTGCTGTGGGTCCCTCCATAGCCCTAGATGCTTCTCTGGCGCCTCCTCCTGGACACCCCTACCCCACTCCCTACTCCCGGTGCCAAGGGCCCCACAAATGGATCACGTACAAGATCCATAAGACAGCCTGGATTTCCAGCCTGCATCTTTTCTAGGAAGCTAGCACCCTTTCTTCAAGCATGCTTTTTTTTTTTTTTTTTGTAATTCGGTATTTTTAAATGTTACAATTAGGCCAAACTATTTTTGTGCCATTTGGCATTTATTCTTAAACATTTATTTGGATTAGAATAAATGAATTTTACTATGCACTTCTTATTAATGAATAAACAAAATAAAAAAATGCTACTTCTTATCAAGAGCCTCATTGTAATAATTAGTTCTGGTTCTTGGAATTTACCTGAAAAGATTTAAAAAATTGTAAAAATGTTCACGGTTTATTGTTGACCCCTTCAAAATAACAAAATGTCTAAAACTAAATGTAAGTATGTGTGTGTACATGCGTGTGTGTGTGTGTGTGTGCACATGTGCATTTGATGCTTAGGACTGAACCCAGGTCATCCATTGCATGTGTCATCTTCATCCTACCGCTCAGCCACACCCCCAGCCCCACTATGTGCACATGTGCGTCCTTGTGGGTGAACTGCAATCAATTCGGTTTGCAAACAAAAGCTTTCAGCAAATCTAACTTCCGTTGCAAACTCACATCAGACAACAAATAAGACGATGGCCATCTTCCTCATATAGACACAATCGCAGCTGTCTTCCCTAAAATTGCAAAACATATTAAGTTCATAAACTGAGGACATATCCTATATTTCCATCATGTAATAATGGGATTGTGGTTCAAAATATACATCATTAAGCAATTTCCTTATTGTGCAAAGGGCCTGGGATGTGTATACACACACACACATACACATACACACACACACACACACACACACACACACATACACATACACACACACAGCAACTATGGCATGAACAAGCAATCTTAAAGGACAAATACCATACATGAGTCTCCATGCAGCCCATGAATATGTATTACTTATATAGAGAAAACAAATTGTATAAGAAATATATTTCTGAGGGGGCCGGGGAGATGGCTCAGTGGAATAAGTTCTTCCCTGGCAAGCACAAGGGCCTGAGTTCAATCCCTGGTTCTGAAAAAAAAATTTCTTTTTTTTTAAGAAATATATTTCTGTTAAAATATATCTTTCACTATAGAAGTGCACATAAAATGCATATATATATACATACTCTCTATATACTTTTCATTTCATTCATATTATATAACAGATTAATACTTGAATCAATTCTATAACATAGCTGTTTAAGAGACTATAACCACTGCAGATAGACATTCAGATACATTTTGATATATTCGTAGTTTTACTCTCAAGGAAGAAGTAGAAACTTTTCATAGACACCTGATCGAAGAAGGCTGAAGAGAACCAAAACGCTACAAATGAAATGAACAAAAAAAGTTAAATTTTGCTTTGACTCATGAGATATTTCTTTTGTTTTCTATTTTTATTTATTTATTTATTTATTTATTTATTTATTTATTTAGTGGAACCGGGGATTGAACTCGGCCTTGAGCTTGCCAGGGAAGCGCTTATTCTACTGAGCCATCTTCCCGGCCCCATGTTTTCTATTTTTTATTTTTCTCTATTTCTCAACTTTTCTGGAGTATTTTATAGTCAGAGGTGGAAACATGATTAAAACTAAGATTTAATTTATGAGTTAGCGATGTTAAAAGTTAGACGCCCTAGTTTCTTTCATCTCCCTCCACTACATGCTGGAGGCCCAAAATGCTGCCCAGACACGTTTCCAGGAGAATTTTCCTTTGGTGCATTTTGATTAATCTGCAACAGCATTGTACCAGCATAGGTATTTTAAGGCCCGGCCAAATAGCTCAATGGATTAAAGTGCAGTGCTGGCCCTGCCCCCAGGACACGTTGAGGGGCATGCTGAGACGGCTTGGCAGGAGCCTGTAATCCCAGCACTTGAGAGGCTGAACACACACAGGTCACTACAGGTCCAATCTACATAGTGAGATGCTGTAGCCCTTTAGACCCTTACTAAAAACTACAAAAAAGAAAAAAGAAAAAGAAAAAAAACAGCAATAGCAGTAATAGATTGGCAAGGCTTTTCTTCAGTGTCCATGGATTCTTCTGTGCCAGGCCTCAAGTACATCATAAGGACAATATGGATTGAAAAGATGGTTCTTGTTCTTTATTTTTGAGTTTCTTGAGGTTTTCTGTTGATTACTTCCAGCTTCTTACCCTACAAGGACAGTAGGCTTTCAGACTCTTTTCTCATACTAGCAAATACAAAACTGATAATTTTCTACAGCAAGACTTGTATTTTAACCACCATACTGACAATGGATTAGTGGAGCAAATCTTGCGGGAGAGCTCATGTAGGTTATTTAAGAAAAAGGAGAGAGTGAGTGTGGTTGAGGTGTTGAGGAAATCCCAGCCACATGACCGTGTGGGGCTGCACTGCTCAGTGTATGTAGTTTCATTTTAAAAATTCTCTCTTTAGACATAAAGAAGATAGGAAGCACTTCATTAAGAGTGCACAAATATAACTTTTAGATATTATAATATTTTTAGTATAGAATTCATCCCTCTGTTTTTATATTGCGAAGTAGAATTCAAGAATCTATGTTCAAAATTTATAAATTAAAAATTAAGATACAAAGTAGTCTTTTCTGTGTCCTCTGCCAAATATCTCTGCGCCTTGGTGTTTAGCATCTTGGAGGCATTTTCTCCAAGTTTCTACTTCACAGAACATTTGGTCACATGGCCTTTTCTAGGCATCCGCTAGTCACAAGACATTCAGGCCATAGATTTCCTGAGCCAAGACACGTGAAGGCAAATGACAATGCCCTTTTGACTCAGAATTTTTATTTATAATCCACTTCCTGAGATCAACAGCTATTTTCGTGTTCTACTCTCATTCCTCCCTACTGACAGAACAGCCTCAATACTGAGACACCCATCCTCCAGAGAGAAAACACAGAGATAGAGAGAAAGGAAAGAAAGGCAAATCTTGCCAAGAATCTTCTGTCTTTCACACCACAACTCACAATCAGGTTGTTCCTGCTCTAGTTGCAAACCTGTAGCTGAACAATTTTTCATCACCAGGCGCAGAGTTATCTGGGCAATCTTTCTTCCTAAAAAGTTATTTTTTCCCTAGTATTTTAGTAGAGGGAACAAGGGCAATAATCTTATTGCAACCTGTAATAGAATAAGAATTCTCCCGCTTATAATCTAAAGAATTCACATATATTTTGATATGAAAAATGAAGCACAGATTGAAATGAAATAGCAGGACATTTCTCCAGTCTTTAATCCTCCGTTTTCTTGACCCACAGAGTTTCTCAGCTGGGGAAGCCCCAGGGTTCTCAAGCGAGGATTTGTGTTTCATTTTATGTAGGCTCAGTCAGCAAGACAAGCCAGACATCACGAATACATGATGAATGCTCTTCAAGTTGTCATTTGATTATAGAGCTGCCCATTTAGGAAGGCAAATCCTCATTCTTCTCATTTCAGTTTGCCTTTAGGCTTCTTGTAAATGTCACCTTTTCCGAGGGCTTGCCTGACCATTCACTTGAAAATCACAAAGCCCTCATACCGTAGTGTCCCCTTACTCTTTGCTTAGATTTCTCCATGTGAGTTATTGACCTGTATTAAGATTAGGTGTTTTTGTCTGTTTTAGCCATTGCTGTATCTCCAATGATTAGAATCTGACTTTTAGTAGTACTCAAAAATATTTATTGAATTGATGAATGTCAACTTATCGAATGCTTAATATATATCAAGAACTGTGGCAGATTGTGTCTACATAAGTTTTCTGGCATTTATCCTGAGACCTTACAATATAGACCACACTATCCCTAATTTACAGATTTATAATTGAAAGGACAGAATAACAAATATGCATGGTAATCCTGTTCAGTATTGAATTTGACATCAGGTTTGATTCTCTGCAGTCTCCTAATTTTTCCTTTTCATATTTTTGTTCCATATTTAATTAAGTGAATTTTAAACAAGCATGGAACATTCCTCTGTTGTCA